CAAATTCTTTCCCTTTTGGGAGATTAGACCATTTCTGAAAAAGCAAAAGTCAGTTCAATTCTATTAACATTTCAACATAACCCCTCATCTCCTAAACCTTGATGTCGAGTTATAAGGGGTGGAAATGCCTTTTTTTTTTATTATTAAGCAGGGGTTGGGGGTGGAGAAGGGGTAACAGAAACCCTTGCCTAGTAAGCAACTAGAGAGAGATCAGCAATGATCTGCTTCCAGAGGGCAAAATCCAGCCAGCTGCCTGTTTTAGTAAATAAAGTTTTATTGGAACACAGCCACACCCATCCATTTAGTATCGCCCATGGCTGCTCATGTGCTGCAACAGCAAAGCTGAGTAGTTGCTATGGAAACCATACGTCCTGCAAAACCTAAAATACCTACTAGCTGGCCCTTTACAGATACAGGTTACCAACTCCTGAAAACAGTCCAACATTGTAATTGGAACCTGTTAAAGAGGGCAGGAAATAGAGTGACAGATTTTTTTTTTTTAAGTAAACTATCTTGATGTTTTTCTGAGTATAAGAAGCAGCAGAGTTTAATAGAAAAAACACAGGCTTTGGAATCAATCACAGTTTTTAGTTCAAGTCCTGGCTCTGTCCCATTCCAGTTGTGTGACCTTGGTTTATGGACGTATAGAGTGCCATGTGCTTAGGCAAATCGCTACCTCAATGTTCCTGTTTCCTTCTGTTTACAATGGAAATGATGTTAGCATCTACCTCTGGGGGATGTGGTGAGGATTAAATGAATTAGCAGGTATGTTCAGTGCAGAGAACTGTGCATGGAATAAAAGCAGGCACTCCTTAAGTGCCAACCTCATGTTGTGTTGTCACCGTCACTGAATTTGTGCAGGTGAAGTCATCTCTGTAAACTGCTCATCTATTGTCTGACACAAACTGGCCACTCGGTAATGGTGGCAGTTTTCCCTCATCTAGTTGAAATGATCCAAAAATCACTCTACTTTCTTTTCATTCCTTATTGATTTATTCTGATAACTACCCCATTTCTTTTAGAACCAGCCATTAACTTTTACTTTCAATCACACCCAGATTGTGATGAGAGACGCCACCGCTTTGAGCATTTCCGAAGGTAAAGCTCATTCTCCTCGGGTTGGCACTGAGTCATAGTCTGCCATGTGACCCACATCCTGCTCCAAACTTGTATTCGACTGTATTCTGACCACGTCTCCTTATTTCCAAAGTGACTTGTCCAACTTAGACTCTTCTTCGAGCACTTAAAGCTTCTGCATTCTTCTTTTTTCCCCAACTTGTGTCATTCTCCCCAGCTGGAATTCTTTTTCCATGCTTTTTGCTTTTCCAAATGCAACCCATTGTTCAAGGCCCCACTGAACACTCATTTCTTCTGTGGAGGCTTCTCCGTACCCAGGCCTTACTCCCTCAATAATCTGTGAGCTATTTTAGGACTTACTCTCTGTTACGCACAGTTAGGTGCTTTGCACAGAGTAGGTGCTCAAACGTAAGTTGATTGAAGTCAGGGATAAACATCTAAGTGTTCCACAACTTTGGCTATGTAACTGTGATTAACTCTTTTCCCTTTCCAAACAACCCCACTCCTGGCTATGTCTGACGGGGCCCAGGAGAGGCGTTATCCATGCTCACCCAGGAGAGGTGTGTCCCAGCGTGTGTGTTTGAAGGTCAGGGGTAGCCAATGTGTTCTTGCTTCTTGACTGTTCCGTTGTTCAGGGCAACACCTCCTCTGCACAGAAAATCAAGTACTATTAGCTTTCTAAACAGGTGTAACATATTTCATAATCAACTCTCTTCATCTCCAAAAGTAGAAAGAACATCACTGTTCTCAAATAACCCCGCAAGAGAGATCAAGAAGAAAATAAATGACACCAGGAAACAAAGCTTTCATGCTTTGGATCAAAAGGTATACTCTCCAAGTGAAAAAGAATTCTTATTAAAGATCACTCTTCATTCAAGTAACAGAATGATAACATCGGTTCCCAATAGTCAACACTTTTATATAAACAAAGGCTTGGGGGAAAGAGGTGTGAGTGAGGGGCAAGTTCAGTTACATAATTCTTCTTTGTGATACTGTAATCAAAAAGTTTTAGATATTACCATTTGTGAGGGTTTATCAAAGTTGCGTGTGTACACATGATAAAGAAAAAAATAGGTTTCTTGCTTCATCTGAACATCTCTCAAGAAAATCAGTGGAGTTCGAACACACTAGTACGTACTGGACTTACCTTTCTCCATTGGCATATAGTAGATTCACAATTGGCATTTAAATAGTTTCAAAAAGCTTACACTTACCAGTTGTCCTTGGAGAGGTTGATGAATTCTATCTGTGCCGTTCAAGGGATCGCAGGGAAGAAATAACTCATCTAAACAGCTCTGTCGTGAGAAGGGGGAAGGTATTCACAGACAGAACCATGAAAGAGCCGCAGATACAAAACACATCAGACTTGAGAGAAGATGTGATGCTACCTGAGGAGGACAAAAACTGACTCGTTCTTTATCTTGTGTCGTACGTTAAGGGAACAAGCGTGTGATGGCAACCCTCTCAGGACATTCCCCCCACGGAAACTGAATGGCCTGGTCATTAAAATCTTCAAGCAGAGGCCAGAGAAGCTTACTGGAGACATAGAGTGGTGAAAATGATGTCTGCGAAAAATTTCACAGCAATAAAATTGTGGCTTTATTCCGAGAGGTAGATACATACCTATCATATATTATAATAGAAATTGGTGTTCTTGAGGTGATTAAAGCATATTTAGATAAGGAGATTTTTTTCTGGTTCAACTTATTGTAAGGGACTTTTTAGGCACTCTGCCTAGCTTAATCTCCTACATGAATTTTTTTTTTTCCTGCTTAAACAGATGTGCCCGCTTTATGCCCTGGAAACAGATCCATGCAAATGTCACCCTTCCCTCTTTCCTCCTCCAGCCCCTTCCCTCCCGTGCCAACCTCGCTGTTCCTTCTGTTCTTCCCTTATGAACAGAAAGGAGAAATTCACCAAGTGTCATAAGGGAAAGAAATACATTCAACGCTACCACGTGTATCTTAGGATATCCAGACAGAAGGGAGTTGAAAGTTTAATTCCAATGGGGGAGAAAAGAGACAGCAACCATCAAAGCCCATTCACGAGTCTCGGAAAGGAGGGGCCTAAGATTAGAAAACTGGTCCTTTGCTAATAGATACAGTAAATTCTGAATGCTACTTCTTGGAAAGATGTTATTAGGAGCCACTCACTGACATGCATTCTCCCCTCCTGTTGTGCTAAATGCTTTCAGCGCATAAGAGAACAAAGTCCACCAGGGCATCTTTTTCTAAGATGGTTATGTAATTTTATGATTAAAATGATTGCATATGATAAATTAGCTTCAAAATCTTATACAAACTGGACAACGTCCCCACAGTAAACACATCACAGAGGTCTGGGTCTTTGTGTGTGTGTTTGTTACCTGAAACAGCAAGCCATGGAGTTGTCCTTTAATGAACTTCTGTCTTAGTGATTCAATTGTTGCTACAAAGAGAATTTACAGCCAGCTTAATATGACAGTTTGTAACCCCCTTTTCCCTTAATTCATTTCATAAACATTCAACAGCTTTAAATTTGGGGCCTGAGGAAAGGAGAGAGAAGACGATGGCTTCTTAGGATGGTGGTCGCCACTCATGACTTGGGAAAGTGGGAAAGGAGGACAAAGCAGGTGGGACTGAGAAACCACTGTTGCCCTTGAGTACTTAACATTAACCTTGACAGATGCAAAGGGGTGAGGGTATAGCTCAGTGGTAGACTGCATGCCTAGCATGCCTGAGATCCTGGGTTCAATCCTCAATACCTCCACTAAAAAAGAAAAACAACCTAATTACCTCCCCCCAAAAAAGATGAAAAAATAATAAATAAAAATTTAAAAATTTTTAAAAAATATGATAGTTGGGCAAATGAATTATCTTCTAGGAGTAAGTCACAGATTTATCTTAAAATGGGAAGGCGCCTCAGAGGTCACTCAGTCCAGCTTCCGACCCATGGAGAAATCCTCTCTTCAACAAACCTTTGCTTGAGCTGTGAGCGATGGGAGCCCTGAAAGTGGAGCCCCAGAGCCCCTGACTCCTACTAGTAGGTCTGAGGTCACGAAAATTCCCTGAGGTCCAGAGCATTTAAGGGGTAACTGGTTATTTGTGGAGCTGAGATCTGACTCACAGGACAGTGCTCGCTTCACTATACTCTTTTGTGAAATTCAATACATTTGCCTTTCTACTTAACTGAAATCTGCTGCCCGGTAACTTCCAAATGCTCACCTCTGGAATAATGAAAGTGGGAGAAATACCTATTTCACTTTTTGAGTTAAATAGTAACATGTTACTTATTTGACAGTCCATACTCTTTGAAATATAGCCAAGAACCAGAAAAGAGGCTGCTATCTTTGGAACGACCGAAACAGACGTTGAGATCCGTGCCCTTGATTCACGTGGCCCATCCTCACGTTTCACTCAGACAGTGGGCGCTGAATTTATACCCAGTTCTCACATGCCTGACTGTTTTCTCAGCCCACAGATGATTAAAAACAAAGATTAAATGAGGGTCAGAAGCTCTGCTAGATGGAGGCATATTAATAGCTGCCACTTTTTTAAAAGATCACTAACAGCCAGGAAAATTAACAGCAGATACTCCGGTGCCCAAAACACACAGAAATCTGGTGCTTCTTATTTTAAAGACCAACAGTTTTATGTCTCAACAGTCGAGAGAAATTCTGAGCCATGAAAAAAAATGCTAATACATGTGTGAAGTACATAATCTAATGTTCAATATTTTCCAGGGAATAAAAGCTTGAAAAGCTCCAATGATGTGGCAGACTACCCATGTAAAATTTATTTTGTATGAGTTCTTTTTGTAAAAATAGTGCTTCTCAACTAAGCCTGACATAGTGTGTATTAGGCCCACAGGAGGAAAATACATTTTAAAAATATTTCTAGTATACTTAAATAATTTTAAAATTTTAAATTCTTAATACTTAGAATTTTAGTGAAGATTCCATTTTTTAAAAAATTCTGTGTTAATTGCATTAAGAAATAAGCCGCTGTCTACCTCCTGACCTTTATCGAAGGAACAGCAACCAAAGCTTTCAGAAGTGGCCGACATTATGTTCCCGAAGTTGTGTATCTCAAAACACTGTCTTTGAATTTCCAAATTAAGCTTGTGTTTCAGAAGGAATAATGAGTTAGTATGAGACTGTCTAAATTGCCCATCTGCTTTCCCATCAGGCGATCTTAGGTTTTAGAAACAGTCCATCTCAAAACATTCAAATTGTAAACCTCATTTCAGCAGATGTTTCGTGCAAAGTGTAGCAACTATTTTCATACGTTTCATAAGGCAAAATGAGCTGGCTTATGACCCAAATTTGCATGCACCTTTGCATTCTTCTTTGTGTATCTGGGGTTGGACCTGCCATGTCTCTGGGGCATTTGGGTTTCACAGGGAAGCAAGGAAAACAATGGCCACTCTATGCCCTGCTGTTGCCATCTGTGCTGTAGGATGAGGCCAGGTGTCCTGGATACACTGCCTTTGAAGGAAGCGGAGATAAAACAACTTTCTAAATGACGATGCAATAAGGATTTCAGGCAAAAAGCCCGGCAATTAATTGGCTGTTGAAAAACAAAACCATAATATTAGAGCTGTAATAATGTAAGCTATCAATGATGGTTGACATTTATGGATTATGGACTTTATAACACAGTATATGTGTTACTTAATATTCTATAAAATAGGGCATTAAAATACTAAAGTTCATTGAAAGCCACAGTCTAGAAGAAAAGGATTCACAACACACAGACCTGCCAAGGGACTTGTATCCAAAATATATAAAGAAAAGAAATCTTATAACTCGGTAACAAAAGGACAAATGGCTTAACTTGAAAAAGGGCAAAAGACTTAGGAACTTCACAAAGAAGATATGCAACAGCCAATCAGCTCAACAAAATAAAACCACAATGAGATACCCAGTAGAGCAGGGAAAATGAAAGAGATTGACACCACCAAATACTGGAGGTGTGGAGCACCTGGAACTCCCCCTGCATTGCTAACCGGAGTGTGAACGCTTTGGAAAACTGGCTGGCAGTTTCTTAAAAAAGTCAGAATCTGATGTTTATCCCAGGTTAACTAAAAACAAAGGTCCACACAAAGACCCACACACACACGTTAATGGCAGCTTTCTTCCTAACCACCCAAAACCGAAAATAATTCAGATGTCCAATAGTAGAAGAAGAGGTAATCAAATTGTGGAATATTCATGCAAAGAAATATGACCCAACCATGAAAAGGGCATCCCACTGACAGACACAACACAAATAAATCCTGTGCTGAGGGAAAGAAGACAGATACAGAGGAAAGTACCTACTGTATAACTCGATTCTAGAACAGGCTTGACTAACTCATCGGTGACAGAAATCAGATGAGTGGTTGTTCCTTGTGGTGGCGGAGGTGGGAGTGGGGAGAGACTGGGGAGCAGCACAAGGGAACTTTCTGGGGTTGCAGGAGTTCTGTGCTTCAATGTGCATTTGTCAAACTGCTTCAACAGTACACTTCAGATCTGAACACTTTATGCTATGTTAATTATGCATCGATAACACGGAACTTTAAAACTACAACAAGAACAAAATACTGTGATCTATGAGATAAAAAGGGTTTGGAAGGGACCCTAAAATATATATGCAACAAACAACACAATTACTAAATTATTAGTACCTAGGAAGAGAACTTGGATCACTGAGACGTGCAACTTAAAACAGCTGAAGGCTGACCCCCAGGATGCTAGAAATGCACAAGAACAATAGAGGGGAGATGCTGGTGACACTTTCAATGGCACAGCGCTGGTAGGGCGCTGAGAAAACGCAGATGGAAGTGGAACCCTCAGGCGGCAGGGCCGCGGAGGCAAATGCAGGAGGGAGTGCCGCCCGGCAGGAGACGAGAGCTCTTCGCGGCTGGGATGGCACCTCTGTGGGAGGGAGGCCCAGGTGAAGGACGCTGGTTTTTAATTTTCTTAAAATGAAGCTGAAAGGCTCCTGCTGCCTGTCAGCAGCCAAGCTGGGGGCTTTTTCCTTTCCTGCTGCAGGTTTTAATTCTGTTCCCACCACTCCAGATCCTCAGCCCAGGAAAACTGTGAATGAAACGTCCAGATTGCTCTCCCAGGTCATTACCCGTTTGTCAGTGGTGCATGAGGTAGTTTAGGTGATTGACAGAAACCTGCTCTAGCAGAACAGACTGTACCCAGCATGGCCAAGCACTAGCTACTCTTTTGCATTTGCTGTGTTCTTTATAAATGAACCACTATGGTATTTTCCATATGGAAGAGGGTATGAGGGCTCGGCAAGGTAAAGTGATCTGCCCAACTTTATCGAAGTCTTTTGTAGACTTAGTGTCAGAATGTAGGTTTACCTTCAAATCCCAGGCTCTTTATCATTACGTTATACTGAGTCCTACATCACTGCATCCATATCTATGCCTATAATTTGGGAAAATGCCAGCTCCATCCTATCAGAGCTGTCCAGCAAGGTATATCTGACTTTGCTCTTCTCCTTGGTCCTCACCCCAACACTTTAAGTGTCTCCATCTCCTGAATGCCCCTTCCTATTGCATTCCTTTCTTGCATACTGACTACCCAGGACACGTGGGTCTCGTCCTGCATTCATCCTCAAAGCTCTACGGCTGCTGGCTGTCCCGTACCTCATGCCCTCCGTGCTAAGAACAGCAAGCTAGATTTTCCAGTGTGCTCATCTAGGTGAACGGCGTCTCTAAAGTTCACATCAGATACTATGTTCAAGTAAGGAATTATAATATATAAGATCTTCTTAGGCTCCCTCCCCAAAGAAATATTTCTGGTTTCTAAAGGAAATATATGTGATTTCACTCACTGTCTATTGAATGAGTGACTCAATGAAGATTTCATGGAAATAGGGGCAAAAAGAAGACGGATAGCGAAAGGGTGACATCTTGGGTTAGATCATTTAGCCTATGCTTTTTGCACAGTAGATTCACCCTAATATGTTGTATGCCTACCCTATGTCTAAAAAGATTTCCTTTTTAAAGCAAATATCCATTTATACTTCCAATATTGCTCTTGTTAACAAGATACTTAGATACATATAAAGAAGCAGTAGAAAGAAAATATGTAAGTAACCATTCAAGAAATTTAGTAGTTCTAATGGCACATTTCATGGGGCAAGCATGGACACTAATTCCCTCATAGATCAGTCCAGTCCTGCGGCAACTGAAAACTTGAACAATATTATTTATTCAGCATTAAATTCAGCATTTAAATGTCATAAACAACCTCCCAAGTCCAGTTTGTGAGCACCGTCATTGACCTGAGCATTTGGACGAAACAGCTGCGCCCCCATGCAATTTGCTAATGAACCGTTCCCAGATGCAACCGAAAGCAACTTGCCTTAAACACTTCATGCATTTATGAAGCTCACCAAGAAGTTTCACAAGAACTAAATGGATTTAAATATTTTTATCGTCTGACTCAGAATTCAATGTCTGACTCAGAATTCAAACAGTGTGTGGTGGCAGTGGTCATGGTGGGATGTGTGAGGATGTGTTTGTGTGATAACTGTTCTTCCTCGCTGACATTTGTTCCTGGTCTGTCTGGAAAATCTGCTATATGAACTTCGAAAATACATGCTACCTAACTTCCCCTCTTCTTGCAAAGATTGATTTTTAAGGGCATTTTAAGAAAGGTCTCCATAAGCAAAGGGTCTTTAGAGCAAAATCTTGATATGTGTGCTTTCTTTGGACAGCAAGAGACACAAACAAGTAAAGGAGATCATAAAGCCTGGCAGACTGTGAGTGATTTAGGATGGAAAGGAGGCATGCACCCTACTTTATCCAGCCAGAAAAAGTTCACGCATTCAACCTAGAGCAGCTGCTTTCACATTCTGTTTTAAATGGTATTTGGACCACGTATTCCCTGAGGATAGACTGGTAAGACAACAGCAGTTCATAATATCAGGAAGTCTACTTCGGGATTTTACAAAGTTGACTTTTCCAAGAAAGTACTACAAATCATGGCGTGGGGGGGAGTGGAGGAAGGGATAAATTCCTAGTTGTCTGAAACTATGGGGTATAACATTGATGTAATAAAAGATAAATGTAACTGGATCGAAAGATTATTCCTCTAAGCACTGGGTCTAAAACGAACACACCATAAACCAAATTTGGAATGCCTTCATGTTCGTGCCTCAAAACCAACAGTTCTAGCCACAAGGGAACCTTCTCCAGTGTCCTCTGACCAATACAAAATGTAACATATAGATGATGTAATTTAAAATATGCTTCGTATTATCTGACAGAGTGAAGCAAAGTAAAATGATACTTAGAGTTATTAAAAATGAGCAAGCTCTTCGAGGCTTAAAAATAATAATAATAAAATGTTGAATAACCACTGCTATTTTAGAACTAGCCAATTCCTCTACCCTCTTAAACAGCTTTCTTGAATAACAGTAGAAAGGGTACAATAAATTCAAAAGAAACCCAAGTCTAAAAACTTCCACCTCTAGCTTACCTTAACCTTGTATTTAGGCATTACCTGAATCAATAACTTTCTATAAAAAGAACATTTATATTGTTAGCACAAGAAGCTGGTTGTCTGATAAATGGTCATAGAGATAAGCTTTATTTCTCCTGAATTGTGTTTCTAGAACAAAATAAGCTTAAAAATAATCTGACATATGAATTTTGACAACTGTCTTCTCACCGAAATCCTCAGTAAACACTTATCTACTTTTGGGTAATAAAGAAAAAGGACAAATAGTCTCATTTTTAAAGCAAAATATACATATGGAAAGAGCACATTAAATTTTTTGAAGAATTTTCATACATATTTAATATTTTGATGTACATGGAATTAATAAGCATTTTGCCCAAGCCTAAAATTCCTGCTTAAATGAACACAGAGAGGCAGGACCTTTTCTACCATATGGTGGGTACAAACTGGCTAATAAAATCAAGGTATAATATGTAAACAATTTGCAAGTTGAACTATCCCACGCATACAAGATTTTTTCCCCATGTTTACTTTTACAGATATTGAGAATTTTTTTTAATTTTTAAAGAAATAACAGTCATGGAAAAATCCAGCTTCTAATAAACAACCAAAGGGGAAAGTTAATGGTTAAATCCATCCACCTAGCCACTAGGCAGACCTCCCCGAACGCCCACAGCACTGCCTTCTGGAACCACTTCACTGCCATGAATGCAGTAATAATACAGCAGCTGTAATCCAGAAAAAGGGCTGTAATCCTCTGCCCCACCTCAAAGTGGACTGAATTCGGACAAAACAGATATCTGCTACTCACTTTTCGGTTTTCTCGTCTTCTGCTCAAGTGTCTGGCAAGAGTTCACTAACTCAGTATTTATAGTCTGGCGATTCCGTTGTTCCGAAATTGCTCCCTCTAATTTATGCCGCAAAGGCTTAGCTTTCTCACTGGCAGAGTGGGCTGCCCGATCTCCATCCTCCACCTGGATACGGACAGTTAATGCTGAATTTTAGCAGGGTGGCCGAGAAGGAAAGCCATTGAGTGCTCGCCCTGACTGTGCACACGAAACTGAAAATGTGTGCTTTTCTTCTCAGGGAAGCGATAAGCCTCCACTGAACTTCTGCAATTCTGTGTTTGCATGGGCTTCGTATGCCTGAGCTATTTCTACAGCTGTCCTGATATGTCAAGTTGCCTCTTTCTGCAAAGTTGCCTCTTTCATCAGCAGGCTGTTGACACCGCCTCTTACAACTCCCCCTTTACTTCCTCCGCTCACTGCTCGTCTCGAGAGGGACTGAACTTCGCAGTTCCTCTTTGTTTTCTTGTTCCTCCTCCATTTTTACTTCACGGTGTTAAGAACATCTGAGAAGCCTTCCCTTGCATATAATGTAGTCAAAGGCCATCCTACCTGCTTCTCTGCGTCCTCCAACCATTGGCTGGCTTCTTGGACCTTCTTCCTGAAGATGGCTTCTTGGCTGACAGCATCTTCTTGCAGTTGTGTGATGGCTTCTAGTTGTTTCTGCCTGGAGTTTAAAAAAAAAAGTTCAAACCACAAGCTGTCAGTGACATTTCAACTAAGAGTCACCCCTGGGAAGTTATGACAAATTCAAACTTAATACACTTCCTCAGAGAAGAGAGGAAAAAGTGAAAGTATTTATACATAGATAAATGCTTCACAAATACGGAATTTTAATGAAAACCATCATCTTGCTCACTTAGCCTGATAACATAACTTTATAGATAAGGACATTTAGTTTCCTATTTCACACTGGAATATTCAGTTCCCCACAAGCTACAGTCATAACACTTAGCTACATTGGTTCTACAATGAGGTCCCTGTGACAGGTGTAATATTTATACATCACAGCTAGTTTTTTCCAAAAAAAGAGAAAGGAACAGAAAAGGGAGAAAGGGAAAAGAAGAAAGAAGAGTGGAAAAAAATTAGAAATAAACGCTTTGCTTCATGAACTTAACCTTAAGAATTGTCAATCATGCTATTTAATATGTACCATGAGAAAGGAAGGGCTGCTCCCAAGAATAGATAAAAGTTACCTGTTAGTATTTCCACTGCAGTCCTCTCCTCTCTAAAGCCCCTCCCTTTCTTCCTAACCCCCCAGTCTCTCAGTGTTGTTATATTACTTCCCTTTTGGATTCAACCCTGATCCCCCAAATATATAAAAATGCATCTGTTAGCTGATGAGATTATTAAAACTATGCTATATACCCATATATCAATGACTATCTGGAAACAACTTGACCCAAATAAAGACCTTGGCTCAAAGGGATGATAACCTTTGGGAGTTTTAAAGCAGTGAAGAAGACATTGTCAGGTTTAAGCCTTTAGTGGGTCTCGTAAATATTAAGACAAAACCCAGCCCTGATTACAAGAAGGACCATGGGAGAGACAAGGATGGTCTCAGAGAATGCTTCTACCACTATGGTAAACCAGCAAACAAAACCCTAACTAAAAATAAAAACTACCTAAAACACACATTCTCCTGAGCATCGTTCAAAAGCATGTAGTCAGTTTTTTCTTTTTCTTAAATTGTGGTGAGAACATTTAGCATGAAATCTACCACTTTAACACGAGATCTACCATTTTAACACATTTTTAAGTGTACTATACAGTACTGTTAACTATAGACTTAATGTTGTACAACAGATCTCTAGGACTTACTCCTCTTGTGTAACTAAAACTTTATATCTGTTGAATTATGACTCCTCATTCCCCCTTCCCAAGCCCCTGGAAACCACCATTCTACTCTCTGCTTCTGTAAGTTACTATTTTAGACACCTCACAAAAGTGGAATCATGCAGTATTGGCCCTTCTGTGACTGGTTTATTTTACTTAGAATAATGTCCTCAAGATTCATCCATGTTATCACATGTGGCAAAACTGAATATTTCATTGTATCTATACACTGTATTTTCTTTATTTATTCAATCCACTGATGAACATTTAGATTGTTTCCACATCTTGTCCATTGTGAATGACGCTGCAATGAACATGAGTGTGCAAATATCTTTTCAAGATTTTGCTTTAAATTCTTTTGGATGTGTACCCAGAAGTGGGGCTGCAGGATCATATGGTAGTTCTATTTTTATTTTTTGAGAACCTCCAAACTGTTTCCCATAGCAATTGTACCATTTTACACTCCCACCAACAGTATACAAGGGTTTCAATTTCTCTACACCCTTGCCAACACTTAGTATCTCTTGGGTTTTTTTTTTTTTTTGATACTAGCTTTCCTAACAGGTGTGATTGTGATTCATTCATCATTGTGAATGACTCATTGTGGTTTTTATTTGCATTTCCCTGATGACTAGTGATGTTGAACATCTTTTCATATACTTGTTGGCCAATTTTATGTCTTCTTTGGAAAAATGTCTATTCAATTCCTTTGCCCATTTTTAACTGGGTTGGGTTTTTTGTTAGTTCTTATATTTTGAATATTAACTCCTTTTCAGACATATGTTTTGCAAATATTTTCTCCCCATTCAACAGGTTACCTTTTCACTGTTAAATCCTTTGCTGTGTGGAAGCTTTTTAGTCTAATGTAGACTCACTTGTATATTTTTTCCTCTGTTGCTTGTGTTTTTGGTGTCACATCCAAAAAATTGTCAAGACCAATGTCATAAAAATTTTCCTCTAAGTTTTCTTCCAGGAGTTTTACAGTTTTAGGCCTTATGTCTAAGCCTTTAACCCATTTTGAGTTCATTTTTGTATATGGCATATGATAAGGGTTCAACTTTATTCTTATGCATGTAGATTTCCAGTTTTCCCAATATTATTTGCTGAAAAGACTATCCATTCCCCATTGTGTATTCTTAGCAACTTAATCGAAGATCAGTTAACCATATATGCATAGGTTTATTTCTGGGCAATCTATTCTTTTCCATTGGTCTATGTGTTTGTTTTTAGCTTAGTACCATACTGTTTTAATCACTATAGTTTGTAACTTACTCTGAAAACAGTGTGATACTTCCAGGTTTGTTCTTCTTTCCCAAGACTGTTTTGGCTATGTGGGGTCCTTTGTAGTTCCATATGAATATTGGGAACTCCCCATCTCTCAGCTTTTCCCTGGATCAAGAAAGAGCTGGGCTGTTGTGCCCAACATTCCAACTTTGCGGAGGACTGCCCAAAATACTAGCTTCTATCCACCTGTCTCAGTCTGCAGACAAAACTGGGGGGCCTGTAGATGCCAAGGGGGCATTGAGAACAAAGACGATGGTTTGAATTGGCACACGAGCACTCATCATAGTCCCTCACCCTGGCTCTTTCTTGGGGTTGTTCTTTTTTATTATTGTAAAATAAAATTCTATTTGAATTTTGATGGGAATTGCATTGAATCTGTAGAATGCTTTGGGTATTACAGACATCTTAACAATATTAAGTCTTCTAATCCATGAACACAAGCTGTCTTTCCATTAATTTGCATCTTTTAAAGTTTCTTTCAGCACTGTTTTATAGTTTCAGTGTACATGTCTTTATTGCCTTAATTAAGCTCTTCCTAAGAATTTTATTCTTTTGATACTATTTTAAATAAATTTCTCAGTTTCCTTTTCAGATGGCTTATTGTTTTTTGTTTTAACATTTTTTTATTGAGTAATAGTCATTTTACAATGTTGTGTCAAATTCCAGTGTAGAGCACAATTTTTCAGTTATACATGAACATACATATATTCATTGTCACATTTTTTTTTCACTGTGAGCT